GGTAGACTTGAACTCTTCTATTTTTTTAATCTTTATTTTGTTTTTATGTGGTGCTGAGAATCGAACCCAGTGCCTCACAAATGCTAGGCAAGTACTCTATCACTTGAGCCATATCCCCACCCCGGTAGACTTGAACTCTTGAACTTGCCATCCTCCTGCTGCATCCTCTTGAATAGCTAGGATTATAGATGAGCACCACCACATTCTTGCTTAAATACCAAGATTTTTTTTAAAGCATTTCTTTTTTTCTTTTTTTTAATATCATTTTTTTTTATTGTTGTTTATATTTTATGTGGTGATGGGGATTGAACTCAGGGCCTCATGCTTGTTAGGCAGATGCTTTACCACTGAGCTACTCCCCAGCCTCAAATAGCAAGGTTTTTAAGTACTTTTATATGCATGCTTCTTAAAACCTTAGAATCAAGACTGTAAGCTAAGTAGTTTTATGTTAAATGTGAAAATAGAATGGGAAACAGTAATTGATTTGCTTTGGATATCTCAGTTATTTAGTAAAGGATCTGGGACTAGAACCCAGATTTCCTAACTCCTGTAACATCCTTAAAGTTGTTCTAACATGAATTTTTTCTACTCCAGCATTTAAGCAGTTCTCCAGAGAGAGAGAATGCCAATAAAGAGTGTGTGTGTGTATGTGTACTTACTTAATCCTTAGTCCATTTTACGCAAGCTCTTTACAAGCCAGCATTGCTTTGCACATTGGAGATCTGGCTAAGAAGTATTGCTGATGTGGGATTAGGGAATGTTTGAGATCAGCTCTTTTTAGGTTGTTCCTAAAGCTCCTCATTAAATAGCAAAGAAGCTATCTATAAAGGAAATTAAGACTGCTACTTTATTTTATTTGTTTATTTTTATGTGGTGCCGGGGTTCAAACCCAGTGCCTCACACAAGTTAGGCAAGCGTTCTACCACTGAGCCATAACCCTGGCCCACCCCCAACCCTTATGCGGATAGAATTGAGAGGTGGATGTAACTAAGTAGCAGTTGTGATATATTTGATTTCTTTTAAATGTTGTAGTGTTCTTATAGTCTTAAGTGACCTTCCCC